GGTCACATCGCGCTGATGGATGTTAAGAACAATCAGGACGCCCAGTGATGCTCGAATACGTGATGTCGTATTGCCATTATCGCCCATACCAGTTGCCTGCACAGCACGTATTGTCTCCTCCAATTGACTTTGCTCAGCTACAAGCAGCGATTTGAGGGCTGCATTTGGGTCCAGAAACGTGTCCGAGTTATGAGTGTGGCTAGACAACCGATGGCTATTGAGCAATCTAGCTTCCGCTACTTCAGCTGCTGCCGCAGCCGCGCGTCGAAGCGAATCTTCAACGTTCTGAGTCCACGCGACATGGTGCGCAACCACAAGAATTTGCTCCTGCCAATCTTGTGCACGAGATGAACGCAATGTGATTGCGCGACTAGTAGAACTGAACATCTCTTTGATCGAGGTTTCGATCGCAAGCGCCAGGGAGCGGCGGGACGTCTTTTCAACCTCACCTAGCCAGCGTTCAACGTCACAGCTTGTCGTGCTTGGTCGAATCGGCTTCATGTTCAACTCTAAATACGCAAAATCGAGACGTTCACCCTCCAATGCCATGGAGGTGTCTGTTTGCAAACCTGTCTGCAAAGCTCCATTGCTGGGGAAGTTTGGAGTGGTGTCAAGGGCCGCGACAATTTCAATTGCACCATCATCAGAATTTCGCGAAAATACAAGACCAGCGACACCGGAAAAGCATTTTAGTAAATACGGCTGTACATTCGTTGGATCAGTTGTGTTTGCAAGAATTTCTAGCAGCTCTGCGTCTGAAATGAAATTAAAGCGCGGAAACGCATTTCGTTTTGCATCAAGATATCCTGCAAGCCCTTTACGAACGAGCTTAAGTTTTGTGTTTGCCTCAATCAAGGACTTTAACATCGCAGGGTGCTCCGATAAACTCAAAACGGCAGGGTGTTCCAGAATAAAAAAGATGGCCGAGCGCCACACTTGATCCATCTCATCGAACAGCACTGCCTCAACTGGCAGTTGAAGAGCAACATCATCTCCAGTCTTGAAGATAGGCTCAAGGTACAACCATGCTGCTTCAAGTGCAAGTAGTGCGTCAATGGTCTCCTGTAGCTTGGTCAACTTTGTTTCCCACCCTGCAGCGCGTCTGGCATGAGGCCGTACATATTTATTGCCTTGGATTGTTTGAGTTCGCAGAATTTGATTGTCCAGTTCCTATGACAACAGATGCAAGTCATCGACAGAAGGAAGCATTTATGAAATTGAGTTTAGGATGACAATTATGGAAGATCAAATCGAGCATACAAGTATTCTCGTCAATAAATTGCACCTGTTGAACATCTTCAGTGCCACATAGCTTATAGAATCCGCGCCACGCCTCAGCTGCAAACACCGCAGTGGTCCACGCGCGTTCCATGTATTCTAGCTGCTCTTCGAGTGCATGTTCATGCCCAGCAGCAACGCAAGTCTCTTCAATGACGCCAGCGTAGTGCTGCAGGCCAACATCGAGCATCTGCAACAAATTTGAGGTGTCAGTTATCTCAAGCGACTCGAGGCGCGTGCTTTTTTTAATCTGCGTCCAATGTCGTTCCTTCATGCCTGGCTGGCACACCAGACGCAGCAATGGAAGTTGCTCTTCATCAAATATCTTGACTTCCTGCTGCAGCAGCTTTCCAGCACGTGTAGGCGTAGCACGAGAGTCCCCCCGCTCTTCCAGCTCACGTACGGCAGCTCCCAAAGCAGCTCGCAATTCTACAGTGGAACGTTCTGCGTCCTGCGCGTCAATTGTACTGAGAGGATCATGCTGCCAGTGATTGATCTTTTCGACCCATTCTTTTACAACGCCCCAGAGCTGCGCGAGCGGGGCCAATGCCCTATCAACGATGTTTAGCCGGGTCTGGTTATCAGTCAGAGCCAATTGCAGCAGTTTTTCTTGCCGTTCAATGTCGTTAGCATCAGTTCGCATGCTAGAAAGAGACTCTTGCACTGCAACGATGCGCTTGTAGATTGCCTGAACCTCTGATGGCGTGAGTGATCCAGCTTCTGCGATTTTCTCGATCCGCTTCTCCAGATTTGTCGCCTCTCGACTGAGTGCCTCCTGCTGCCCTTCAACAAGCATTTCCAAATGCCGCTTTCGAGTCTGTTGGACCTCATGGGAATGAGTCATGCTTTGTCTGACGGACGCTGGCCACCGACACGTAGTCACGAGGATTGCTGCGTCATCTCGGGATAGGCTCGCACGTGCACAATCACTTTGGGTCTGAGAGAGCAGAAACTGCACTCGTTCGTGCACCTGTCCTGAATATTCATCCATGAGGCGCGTTAGTGTGTCAATACAACGTGTCGAATATTCTTGTAACGCACGCAGCTCATTGCAGTCTACGGGTTCTACTTGCAAATGATCCACAACCTCACTATATTCTTGACATATCGATACCATGTGCGCATGATTATCTGCAGCAACTGATTCAGCAACAAGATAGCGGAGGGAGTCTGTTATGTACACCAAACCCTCCTTGGAATCAATACTTGTAATAGAAAATAGGGGCTCGTGCACGATATTTGCAGTTGAGGTGCGTACAGAAACACCGAGTTCAACAAGCCGCGAGCAGAGACGCGCTAGACGATCTAGAGACCCAGTCGTCTCACCACCGCCCTTTGTACGTGCTAATACCTCCGAGCGCACCTCTGTATCCACGGTTCCATCGAGTAAGGAACGAAATGAATCAAAACGGGCCACCAGTTTAAGTAATCCCTGAAAGTGATGCGAAAGCGCCTTGTGGACACACGCACGCGTCTGGGAAACCAACTCATCATCATGCGCAACACCACAAATATGCAGTTTTGGTGGACGCGGTGATTTGCTAGTTCGCCCAGTCGCCCCTGGCTGTGGTAGACCCCTCATAGATGCTACCAGGCAATCAATTGCCACATCGGCTTGAATATTAAGTTCAGCGAGGGAGGGGTCAAGACGAACAATATCACGAGGAATGTTCTTCTGATCTCGTGAGGAGTCGTCAGTGACTTTGTTGAGCAGCAGTTGTAGCTGGAATACAGATAGCCTACTTGAACCTGTCGCATCAAACGAATTGAAAAAAGCAGCGAAGGCTCGTAAGGAACTTTCGCATAAGACACGCAATTGTCGAGACATCAGCACGACGGCAGCGTCACAAGTGCGACTAAGACGGGAGGCACGAATTTCCATGCCATTGTCATCATTCAATGTCTCCGTGCACCCCATCATGTTCATTTTTGCTACGGACGTATCGATGTCCCGTGGTACGCCCTCTAGTTCGATTCGGCGAGATTTTAGCGCTTTGCTCATATCGGGTTTTTCCGACTTTTGTTTCATTCCTGTTACAGCAAAATTCTGTTCATGCGTCGCTCGCCTGTCATTGTGATTTCGCTTTTCGCTTTGAAGGCCAAAGTATGTGGAATCGGTCAAAGAGCCCGAAGCCTGGCATAGCCATCGCGTTCGAAGCACATCTAGAGCAGAGGCAGTACGGGAAACAATATGCGCACTGAATGCGCCAAGAGTCATTGGCAAGCGCCTGCAAAAATCAGACGATCCGACATCAGTGAGCAATATCTCGCAGTATGCAGGGTGCATCACGGTCGAAGACTTTTCGGTGTCTCTAGATGATAGGAAAGACAAAAGTTTCTGGCGTGCCGGCATTGCAGGGCTGACATCAGGGCACATGAGCTTAATTTTGCTATCTGGTGTGAGCGACTGGGACTCTCGTACTCCGAGTAGCCACAAGCGCTGCAAGTCAGTCTGCACGCGTTCGATCACACATAATTCTTCTTCTAGCTGTAAGTACGAAAGCTGCAGACGGCTTCGCGATACTCCAGTCTGACGATGGACGCGCCAGGTGAGTCGATGAAATCTTGAATCAATCCAATGCGCGTTGGGGTCGATGGGGGCTGGTGACAGCGAGGACGGCTGAGGGGAAGAATGAGTAATACGTTCAGTCATCAGAGGTGAACACACTAAACCAGCGGCGGAGGCTGCTGCGTTGCGAGCAGCTAACCGAGCATTGTTGGAGGCCTCATGGGCAGCGGCGGCAGAGCTATCAGCACCTTCACAAAAGCTGTTTTGGTGTAGATCTTCATCGAGACTGCACCCTAAGACACCGAGTGGAGGACGGCGATGGAGCAGCTCATATTCCACGCAGGCACGAGCAACCGCCCTCTTATACTGCCATCTCACAGATTCCATCATTTCTGTAATCGATGTCTTTATGACAACAGCATGCTCCTCTAACCCCACGCTAGATGCGATGGCCGCGGTGATACGACCATCAATCTCGGCCAGAGGCCGATGCGCACCCCCGCCAACCTGCAGAGCACCACCGTGAGTTGTATTATCGATCAAGGTCTGTTTCATGCTTGTTTGATGTTGCAGAAACCTTTGATGGTGCAAGAAGGACGGCGAGGCAGTCTTTGGAAGCTCTCTGGGGTTCGCTGAAAATGCTGACCTTGCAGCAGGTGCTGTTATAAGACGCCGCTTTGTGCAGAGGAAGTGATTGCTAGCCTCGGGCTCTTTATCAATGCCAATTGTGTGTTCTACAACGTCGTTGCGTGCTGCGGTGCTCGCAATTGTGCGAGCTCGCATCATAGTCAGAGCCCGTGCAGTTGGAGTGTGATATCTCCCTACTCTATCCAGTGGTGTGGAAGCCGTTGCATTATCAATGCGGCCTATACACCAGGAGTCATCCGACTCGTAACGACCAAACAGACATTCAGTGTCTGCAAGTAGAAGTGATAATGCACTACCGTCGTACTGGTTCGATCGGCGCAGTTCTTTAGCACTGCGACCACGGCGAGCAAAATCTGGGAGACTATATGACTCATCGGACATTTTGCGTATCTTGCACGACTCTGATGGTTGGCTGCGAGCCATGATAGAGACTTTCAGCAAGTCGACCTGTCCATGAAGAAAACCTAGGCCTTGCGAAGAGTCCATACGGCGCAACGCTTGATATGTGGCTGAGGAAGGTTAAAATGCAACAATCTTGATGCAAGTCCTGAAACGAGATATCAGCCGAGGAAAGTTAAAAACCGTTCAAATGGCCATGTAAACCACAACTTTGGAGGCCTCGTTCTCGGCCCCATGGCCACCGAGACCTCTGGTTGTTGTTGCATCTGAAAGAGACCAACGTCGTCTTGTGCGCTGGGCCATTAACTCAAAATCTTCACCCGCCTCGAAAAGCTGCGGCATTTTAACGTTCCTCAGCCACACATACGGCTGGGCCTCCGTCAAGCTTCCCTACAATGGTATCCGTTTACGTAAGCATTTCCGTCCACTTGGCCTTTCGTATCTCCCACTAGCCAGAAGCTAAAGGAAGCAAGGTAAACTCTCCCCTCGAAGGGAGGCTGAGCTCAATTAAATTAAGAATGCCAGAATAAGACCTGCTGCCTTAGAGAAATAAGGTTATGCTAGTTGGCTAACTAGGCAGCGGAGTTGCCGTCGTAGGTGAGCTAACATATCCCGCCGGCGGGATATGTTTAACGCCGCTTCAACTTTGGCTTCATTATGCTAAGGGTCCAAGGCCCACCGTGGCGACCTCGCCGCGGCGCCAAGCACGGCGGTGTCGCGCCATTTCAAACGTGCTCTGTAGAATGCGCGTAACAACGATGATCACGATGGTGATAGTGACGATGATTGAGGCTAGTAACCTGCCTTGGTGGATGGTTTCTCGCTGGTTGCTGTGCCCCGATGGACATGGTAATGAGGGTTTTACAGCCTGAGTTGCGCCCGCTGGTACTTAAATAATTGGTTTGTTAAGCTCAGTCCTCGCATCATACAAGCAGCTAAGATAGAAACCGACAATAAACAGCGACTCCGAGCAGCATTAAACCAACAGCAGCAATAGCGGACTTTCGCGGGTCCAGCAATTTACCGTAAGTTACCCCGGAGCCCGGCGACCTACACCACGGCTTACGACCCGGGGCCAGTACAGGCGACTAACAAACGACTTATGGAGCTTCATGTCCAACCACGGGAGTCGGAAGTCGAGTGCACCGGGCACCTAGGCGCCGTCGTGGAATTCGCCACCCACGCTGGACGCCGCCCGGCCTACTGGGGCATGCGCGGGGTCAAACGCGGTGGCTTGTTTGACGGCGGTGCCGCCCTCCCATTTTGGTGTCACTGTCGTTTCTTCTTCTTCATTTTGGCTTTCGCTTCCTCGTGAGCGAGCTCACTAGCCGACTTCAGTTCCTTTGGCTTCTCTGCTGTGATTTCGCCTGTTTTGGTGTGTTTCCAGGCTGGCTTACCGTCGACTTCAATCTGTTTCCACATGGTTTCGGACTTGGGAGCAAGGCCCATGTAAGCATTTTTCCGTTCTTCATCACGCATGGCTTCCCTTGCTTCCATGGACATACCCTGCCGAATAGCCTCACGTTCAGCCTTCTTTTGGCGAGCTTCGAGTAAAACTTGCCAATCCCAGGTCCACCACTTGATTCGTTCTTGCATCAGGTCGTGGTTTTTAGACCATTTCTCTAGTTGTCCTGCAGTCCGGGGGAGCCAAGGTCGGAACCGCTTTGCTAGGACTTTTTGTTGATGCCCAATTCCAATGTGAAATCCTCGGTAGCGTTTGATTACGCCCTGCGTGAGTTGGTTCTCGTAGGACGTCCGTCCAAGCGCAGTCCACAACCTGCCTGCCCGAGATTGTGGAGGAAGTCGATACAGACACAGTCCCCCACCTTCTCCCACCAACGAAACCCTAGAATGGCCCTTGCCAAGCCAACAGAAACGGAGCTGCAGGCTTTCTTTGGCTACGGCATCTGAACGTGCAGCATGAATACGACAGAGGCGCTTTCCAATGCGAATGCGATCATTTTGACGCACGAGCCCACGAAGGTCGTGCGAGACGGCAACAGATTTTTCACCGGCTTCAGGAAAGGCATGGCCTGGTAGTCGTACACCACCATATATAGCCTGATCACGTAGTTCAGGAAGAGAGGCGACATCGAAGCCGCGCGAAGGACACTTCTTTGGATCGGCGGCATCGTTTGCTCTCCAGCAGACATCTGCGCCGTTTTGCGAGATAAAATAGCGGGCACGCGCGCGCCTATAGTCGAATAGCAGGTATACACGTGCAGATGTGTCTTCGTGGTGGTTTGTTGGCGGGTTCCACTGGAACTGTTAAATTAAGATATTTCATCGCTGGATTGTGCTTCCAGAGCGCAACACGCTTCACTGCAAGTTGTTCTTTTGCGTCACTACTCAAAAAGGGCGCGCGGCCTATCAGGTCTAGAAACAGATGGCCCGTGTCCAGATGACGAGAAGCGCCATTCTTTAGCTGCTGCCAGGCCTCGCGCTGGCCACGGCGTGATTCCTGAAGCTGCCGTTGCCCTTCTACTCGGCCGACAGTGGCAAAATAAGTGCGTTGAATCGTAATGGCAGCACGATTGCGCTTTGTCGGCTCCGCTGCGCGTGCAGCTTCGCGTCGATGTCTTTCAAGGACGCGCCGCGTATTGGCGCGGAATAAGCGCTCATCGCGAGCATGTATCTCTGCTGTATAGTAACCAAGACGGTCGCATGCGTGCGCGAGACGTGAGCCAAACGCATGAAGCTGTGAATAACATCCCGCACAGTATGACTCCTCACAAGGAGGGCATCGCCATCGAGCTGCGTAATCACCGCATGCAGCACACGGTTGAACCAGAGCCGTCCAGTGGTGTGGTCGTAGCTCTCTCGCCTCGTTTCGGGATTGTGTAGCGGAGACTTTGTGAGAATTTGCCTCGCGTCTTGCTATTCGTGCTGCTGCATAATCTCCATTTGCAGACGCAGCAGACGCTGCACGCAACGCGCGCTTCTCTAAGTCTTTCTCTGCGACTGATCTCTTTAAGGCCAGGCTCTTGCGCGCTATTCGCGCCTGTGTTTCTATCGATATTTCACGTCTTCCACCTTGCCCATCGAATGGATGCCGATTGTGAAAGCAGACCTGCGCACAGCAAGTTACATGATAGACAGAGACCAGTAGAGTGGATAGAAAGCGCCGGTGAATGCGTCGCAAAGTGAGACAATGCGGCCCTCAGACGCAGAGCAGGTACCACAGGTTCGACTCGCAGGTTGCTTCCCACCGCAATCAACACACGTTGCTATGATGTGAAACCGGTGCTGCTGCCGCTTACCTCTGCGGTGAACAGCTGCCCAACACTCACCGCAATACCTACGTACAGCCTTGCTTTGTCAGCCCGAATCACATTTGAAACGAAACCTAAGCGGTATTCCCCATTTATTTTTTTATGCGCCGGACGCGTGCGGATCGGCGCACGAATCAAGACAAACCCTTTCAGCAGCCTGGACCCCGCAATATGCGCAGTCTACGACATAGGCCGTGCGCCTCGTCGGCCGCTGCGAAACACGAGTCACATCCTTATCACGCAGCAGCTTGGGTTTCACCCATGATACACGTGTCCCCAAACCTTTGGGCGCCCGCAAAAAGCGTCGCTTTGCTTTCACGTTTACGAGATCCCCCCCCGAAGTGCCAACAAACGCCCAGTAGCATACGATGCTTAGCTCGCTGACATTGTCGTCTTCTCCAATGGCTGGTGCTGCATACTGTAGGATCTCGTGATGATCGACCACATACTTCCTATACGCATGTGTTGCAAGCAGGGCCGTGGCAGCTCTTGTGGATGGTCCTCGTGCGAGCCGCTTTTGTATAATCACGGAGGCTGCTTGTTCGAGTTGTGCACGCACAGCGCGTCCCCTAGCTAATCTCTTTACTAAGGTGCAGTTGTGCGCAGCAAAAACCCGAGCCATCTTCTGTATTCTGGCTGCAGCAACTTCTAGTCTGTGCGCAGCACGCATATATAAGGCCTGCTTTATTTTCTCTGCCCATTTGAGAGGCAACCACAAGTCTACGAGGATGGTGAGTGCACGTGCCGCGCGCGTGTCAACCAAGAGTCCGCCCTCGAAATCACGCACACCCGGACGCAGGTCTGCGCTGACGCAGTCAAGACACGCCTAGGGAAGGTTGCGATAATCTCATCAAATGTTGAGCTACTTGAATAAAGCCCCAGGATAAGCCACTGAAGACACAGTAGGGAGCAAGAAATCTCTCAAAAGAAATCGTCTTCTCACCACGGTCCTTCTGCTTGGCAAAAATAAGCTCGTAATCATTGGCCTTCATGGCTCTAGCTGAGTCCTTGCGTACTGAGCGACCCCGACTCGTTGCCGCTCTCTCCCCCCCAATCATTGCGCCAGGTGTGTCCCTAAAAAGCCGAACAAATTCAGACGATGCCATCTTTGCGCCGGCACAGTGTCGTTGTTTCACAACCGCAGCATTATTAGTGAAAGCACATGTCTTGTACTGCGCTGCACCACCTCTGAATAATCTCTGCTGTTGTTGGTGTTTACCGGACGTGTCTTCAGGTGCTGGATGTGTACCTGCACACACGGCCTCACGGCCTCATCAATCTTATTTTCCCAGTGTCAGGAGTGACCACCAGGCACCGGAACAATGCGACAATAATGTGCAAAGACAGCCTGAAATTCACCCCGATACTTGGCAGAGGCCCTGTAAGACTCGGCACATAGTTCCGCTCGAGTGATGCGACGGCACCTTGTGAGCTTAGCATGTGCATGAACAATGTCTTCATCACTGACGGTAGCAGCCGTGCGGAGTTCCGCGGCTAGTCGAATTGCGGCATGACGACGCACGCATGTCTGGACCGTGGTGGTCGGGCCATTCAAACGGCGCCGGCGCACGCGGCGTGGACCGATATCTCTGACGATTGCTCTGACCCGCACGGCGGCCTGGAGGCGGACTGCAGCTGTCTGCCTCGCAGAGGTTCGACGAGCAATGGCTCGTCCCCAATTGCCACGCACAAATTTTTCGATTGTGGTGGCATGAAGAGCTTTTAGTTTGATCTGCCCGTCATGACGAGCTATCCAACCGCGAAGTAATTGCTGTGTAAGAATAATCGCACGTTCTCTTCTTATTGCCTCGGCTGCACGCAAACTAAGCCGCGCATGAAGAACGCGAGAGCGTACTCGGACAGCGCACCGGTGAGCACGAAAAGCCCCGGCAATCCTCGTTGCCGCCAGCTCGCGTTTGATCCTCTGAGACAATTCGCTTGGTATACCACCGGCATCTGTTGAGGCGACGAGCGCAAAACGAAAGGCTCGAGCAAGAACACGTCGCCATTGGGAAGACAAGGATGTTTCCTGGCGGATGCTGGACTGCAAGCCTTCATTGTCATGAAGTCTCAGCGCCGTAAGCCGATGCGTCCGAAATTTGCGTTGAGCAGCGATATTCACTTGGGAATCGAATTGCAACTGCGCCAAAAATCCTTTCGCAGCCCTTGTGCGATACTGAGTTTGTGCCCAAATTGCGACATCAGTCCTCAAACGAGTCACCTACATACGAGAGATAAGGCATACGTTTGAAAAGCCTTCAAGAACGCCGGGAAGACGCACATCCTTCCCCGCAGCCCGGCGATGACGACGCTTTGCACGTGCGTTGAAGCGTGATATTGCCCTCCGAATGATATTGGCTTTGCGTGCCCGTAGGCGCTCCTCCGTGAAACGATGGCGACGCACGCGCATGCGGGTTCGCCAGCATTCTTGGATAATGATGACTGCACCATTTATGCGGAATTGCTCGTGGCGTGTGGAAACCCTGCGTTCTATGAATGCTGAAATTTTTGATGCACGCTCTGCAGCTAGTACCGCGCAATAGCGTTTGCGACCTCGTATCCCTCGCACACGACGTTGCAAAGAGACTGTCGCTGCAGCTCTCTGCATGTATTCAAAGCGTAATTTTACCAGTGTGAGTCTGGCTGAATGACAACGCGCACAACGCTGTACGGCATACGAGGCGGCATTCAGACACGATTGCAGTCTCAGGAGACTTCGAGTATTTTTCCCCCTGATGAAACCTTGCATGGAAACTACCAATAATTCTCGTGTTTCAACGAATCGCATTACTGCGCGACTTTCGCGATCAATTTGTGAGGCTCGTAGTACGATCCTTTCCCGTAGCTCCACACTCGCCAACCAGCGTTGAGAGGTGCGCCAGAGTACTGTGCTTGCACGACTTATGCGTTCCCGAGTCATTTCTACCGCGATCATCTGCCACCTGCTAAATCGCCTCTGGGTCGACACAGTTTCAAAACTTTTGACCTGCTCTCTGAGCAGTTGGGCCCCGCGTTCCAGCAGCGCGGGTCTTAGCGCTGCTTGCACCGATGGCTTCGCCACTTTCACGGCTAATGTTCTGCTCACGTCTTGCATCATCTTCAACCTGAAACGAGGTCAAGTTCGATGTGTAATTTGCCAGTTTAGACATGGAGGGATACGCATCGTACTTAATTCGCTGCATAGTGGTAGGGGGCTGATTGCGAAGGGAGTTTATAGTTCGTGCGCGTGTTTGTATGTGAACATCAAGGGGTGTTGGCCTGGGTCTCGTCGGAATCACAGTATGTGATATGTCAATCAATGGCGGCTTTGCAGCGATTGTGATAGTCTCAGAGGAAGAATTACAATTCACTTGGTTGGCCACGAATAGCACGGGTGGGGGTCGAAACGTTGGAAAGATAATGCCTGGGCTAGATTGTTCATAGTCTACATCAATCATCGCCCTTTGTGTCAATTGTTCACCTACCCGTCGGACAGAATCATAGAGGCGGCTGCCCGTAGAGTGTTTTAGAGGTGTGGCATTGGTCCTGAGATCTAATTTTGACATTGGTTGGTGCCTTGCAACCATTGCTGACACCACAGAGAATTCTCGTCGTCCGAGAGAACCCAACCTCCTTCGAATATCCTCTGTCCGCGACTCCTCCTCCTCCGAGGCTTTCGGCAAACGATTAACTCGACGTTGCTCTGCCTTGGACATCATTGCTAACGTTGGGAGCGTGTTCATTGATTGGGCCGACACAGCCGCAGATGCCTGCTTCTGTGTTTTAGAAGATAACAGGAGCGAGAGAATTGTCGGTTCCGGCCTCACGGTCGTCGCCTTCGCAGGCGGTTTGGACCCGGCGCTATCACTGGCCATTGTAAAAGTAACCAGGTGGCCCGATAGCGTTAAGCGGGTCTCGATTTAATTTTAAAAAAGAGCACACTTCGGGTAGTCGAGGTGCTCCCACCACGCGGAGGAAAATTGTCCTGTTTCCGTCCACTTGGCCTTCGTATCTCCCACTAGCCTGAAGCCAGAGGAAGCAAGGTAATTTCCTCCCTCGAAGGGAGGCTGAGCTCAGTTCAATTAAAGGTGCCAGAATGAAGGCCGACTCGGCGACGGACCGCGCTTGGATGGCGCAGCCACCTCAGCAGGGACGGAGGAGGGTAGGGTAGGGCGGGTGCTTCATTTGCGCCGAAGGAGGGTGGTGGGCGGGCTTAAAAAATAAACCGCGCCACCCCGGGCCCCGGGGAAGCGTGCAAAGAAGATAGACGATCTTGCTGTCTGTTAGCCACATCATGCATCTAGAGAGCTTTCCTTAGTTAGAGGATTACACACAT